GCAGGGTCAGTAGTTTGGAACCACCAGCTGCCCCTCGGGATGCAGATGAAGCCTTCTACTCCTGTCGGGTGGGTCTCGGAATCCCGCAGTGGCGGTGGCGGCAGTTCTGCCCTGTCCTAGTCAGTAGGAGTCAGCCTTGACTCCATGGCAGTGAGCTTTGGCTGTTTTTCTCCTATAGTACTGAAAATACTTCTTTAAACTTTGGAGGAAGAAAACACACACACACACACACACAATCTTTTATTTCCTAAGGAAACTACAATCAATAGGGGCTACTGGACCAAGTACTCAGGGTGGTGCTTCCTCTATGAGGGTTTGAACCCTGAGGGAAGACCCGCTGGGCCCCTTAGAACAGAATAAAAGCAAGAGGAAGGGGCTCGAGAGTCACGGGGCCAACAGCAGTCTCTGACCCACGTGCCTGGGTCCCTCACCAACGGCCCCTTGAGGAGAAGCGCATTATGATTTTTCTCTTTGTAAGGTACAGTGGCATGGGTGCTGTTAAACTCAGGGCCATATGGTGTGGAAAATACAAATGTTTGCATTGCCACTACACCACTAAATGTCAAGACAATTACTTGTGCTAACAGTACTCAGAAAATCGGCTGCTTTGCTGAGGCAAATTGTTTTAAATAATGATGCCTCCAGAAGTTCCAAAAGCCATCGTTCAACGATCATCTTCCCCGGCCCTATGCACACCAAGTACAGGCACAGCTGGGGAGATCGGGGGAGGAGAGTGGATGTATCCATGTCAGTATCCAGCTTGTGATACACTTCTGCACAATTTAACCATTGGGAGAAATGTGACTTCTCTGTACTTCTTGTAATTGCACCTCCATCGACAAGTTCTCCAAAACGCTTTCAACTAAAACATCTTTTACAAAGGGATCCATCCTGCGGTGCAGTGGCTTGCTAAGGCTCTTCCTGCAGACGACCTGTAACTCCCAGCCTGGGACTGAGAGGACTGGGTCTATTTCTCTTTTCCTGAATGGTCTCCTCCCGACGTAGGGGGAGGATGACGATCACATAATGTGGTACAGTTGTGTATGACTGTTTAACCATGGCGATGAAAACACGGGACTGCAGCCTGAGGATTAGTCAATCTGCCATCCTGCTGGGAACAAGATAAGCCCTCTCAGAAGCAGGAAAGGAGATGGGATCTCACTACCCTCAAGAGCCGGGAGGGGAGCATGTTAAGAGAACTCCAACATCACTTTGGGCTTTACCTCCCTCAATCCGGGAGGCACTTGGGTCACCAGAGAAGTGGCAGAGGAGCAGCAGCAACAAGATCCATAGCCAGAGCCTGAGAGAGTGGTGGGCTTCCCAGCCCAGGGACAGGCAAAGCAGAGGCACTCAGGCAGCGCCTGGCTAGTGGCAGGGTACCCCAAGGCACCTACATGAGGGATTCAAGCTGAGCATCTTCTGGCTGAGGCTTATGGCCAAGGGAGTGCCCTTGGGGCGTCCATCTGCAAAGCTGCCGGAGCTCTGCAACAAGGAGCAAGGCAGAGACCAAGGGGCTAAGTAACTGAGAGGCTGAGGATGAGAAGGCCTGCCTGTGGGTACGGCTGTCCTGACCAAGGAACTATTTCCTGAGCATTCCTGAGCCTGAACTGCATCCTCTTAACTTCCCTCATAAACTCCATAATCCTTGAGTATGGCCGGTAAGTTCTGAGAAGCCACTCCAACGATACAGCTGGACCCAGCAGAGGTACAGGGCGATGGGAGGGGCGGTGGTGTCAGAATGGGTGAGGACGGAGGGTGGAGGCAGATCTTTCAGCCACCTCAAGGAATCAGCTTGCGGTGGCACCGAGTTCGATTCTCCCTCTCCTTGTGAAGTCACAGAGCAAACACTGACTGACCCCACGCCCTTTTCACTCACACACACACACACACACAACGTGGTGAAGGCA